TCAGCATATTAGATTGATTTGTGAAAGATCATGTGACACTGAGGACTGGAGTAATGGCTGCTGAAAATTCAGCTTTACATCACATATATTAAATATATATTATTATATATTAAATATATTAAAACAGAAATCATTTCTTTAAAAATTTTATATTTCACAATATTACTGTTTTTTCTGTATTTTTTAATCAAATAAATTACTGCCCTGCTGAGCACTAGAGATTTCTTTTAAAATCTTTTAAAAAATGGTAAAAAAAAAAAAAGGTACATCACTCTGATGTAGATACAAGCAATAAATACAACATTAACAAGAACTGCAAGTAAGCAGTGCAGTAGGTCACAGGACAGCCGTTTAGATCTGCATTCACTAAGAGTTGAGAAACCAGAAAAGTTTCCATTTGAGTATCAAAGGGGGCACGGCTTCTGTTGCATTGTGGGTAAAACCCGTTTAGTGTAAAGTGCATGTGAGGAACTGAAATTGCAATGATGAAGAGTTTAAAACTCCTGCAGAACAGAACATGACACAAGTTGTCTCACCATCTGGGCCCTCAGGAGCATCTGAGCCTGACTTGTACTTGGGCTCTTCCCCAGAAGCAGTGCTTGAGGGGAGATTTTACGGGCGGCCGTAGCAGTGCTTGGATTCTGACTTCCTCTTACAAGAGGCGTTGATCCAGGAGTGTTGGGCAGAGAAATCTGATCGTCAAGAAATTGATCAAATCAGTGGAGGGTGCAAAAGAGAAATTAAACAATAAATGTCATGATAACACCAATAAAAAAAAAAAAACATGATTTCTTCTGTGTTGTTGCACACACACCGTTTTTGGGCTCTGCTGCGAAGATGAAGCTTGGCTGACTCTCTCACTTGGTGAAAAAGAAGGTGCCAGTCTGTCTCCAGACAGATTGACCTGGAGGAAGAAATGGAAGTTTTATAATGATAAAAAAAAAAAAGTTTTAAGATGAAAAACAATGGTAACAAACAGTATAATAAAAAGGTGTATAAATATGCACAATTTGCATATATCTAAATATTATATTAATATTAAATTTTTACACATTACGGACTACTTCCTTCTCTACTCATACTAGTTCTGCTACTAGTTCTACTCATAACAGTTTAGGCTTTTCTGGTAACAGCATTCAGCGCACCTAGTTACTCATTAGAATGCATATAATTCATTTTTTATTTACGCAGATAATTACTTTGTCAGTTGATTATAAATAATGAATCATGTTCTATGAATGAACATGAATTATCTGAATTGTTCCTGTAAATATATACATTTCCTTTCCAAATGTGGATTCTGAATAATAAAATAAAATATATTTCCTCCTGAACCTGTAGCAGTCCAGTGTTCTTTTCATTAACTGTGTTTTTACTTACTGATCATATTTCATATATGCTGAGTTTCCATTTATAAATTAATTTGACTGATAAACAAGATTTGCATGTGTGATTATACTGGTCTTTTAAAAAACATGAATGAACACCTTCCTTATAGATATTTAATTAATCTTACATAGTTACGTGTTGACAGCAGAATACTTTTGATTATTAATGAAGAATTTTAAAATTAATATGTAATTTACAATAGTGAAAAATGACACAGAATAGTGATTAAAACATTTGAAAGTGAAAGTGAAAGTGACGTGTAGCCAAGTATGGTGTCCCATACTCGGAATTTGTGCTCTGCATTTCACCAATCCAAGTGCACACACACACACACACACAGTAGTAAGTAGTGAACAAACACACACACGTACACACCCGGAGCAGTGGGCAGCCATTTTTGGGGGGCAGCAGTTACAAGTCTGACTCGCTAACCATTAGGCCACCACTGCCTTTATTTATATTTAGTACATATAAATAAAAAGGTTCATTTCGATTTTATTCATCAGGTCTCACATACACTGCAGCAACGCAGTAATTAGTTTACGGCACAGTCAGGGTTATGTCAGTTATTTATTTAATTTCAGTATTTTATTTTTATTTTTTATTTTATTTATTGTTATTTATTTATTTAAGTATATGAAGAGTTTGGTTCCAAAACACGATAAACGCCATTTAAAAAAAAATTAGTTTCCACCAAAATTTGTATCTGGTTGGTATTGAAAAGTCCATTTTTAATTTTACGCAAAATGCGATATCCGCCGAGTTATTTTGTCATGTTTTCTCCCATTTTTTTCCAAACCGCGACAAACGCCAGTCTCCCTTTTGAATACACCCGGCATCCTAGTTTTCCTCATCTACTTTGTAATTTGTGATCAACAAACAAACCTAGGGCTGCACGATAAATCGCATGTGATTGTCATGCGCATCTCGTCAGTAAAGCCGCTTCTGTGATTAATAGTTAATCTCCATCACGTGCTTTCAGATGGATACATAGAGCCGTAGATCACTGACAAGCTATGCAATATCGCGTTCATAATAAGCAATACATATATATTACAGTGAAATACTGTTAACATTTTTTTCAATATGTAAAAAGTATAAAACAAGGGATAAGCAGCATTTCCAGAAATCCATGCAAAAACCTGCACATTTGTTTGAATTTTTTTATTATTATTTTTAAAAATTCGCTTTTTTCTTTTAGTTTTGTTATGAGTCATGTACATTGTAGTGTTTTATTTTGCATTTTATTAATATATAATAATCATGTAACTGGTGTTATGTGTTTGTGTGAGTAACTGGGCTTTATGATACGAGTGGCCACAGATGCTTGAAAGGTCAAATAGCTCAAATATGTTGGTATATAAACAGTAGATCATTTAATAATATGTAGGCCCAGGAGCTGTAAAATATACAATCACCAAAACACCTCCCGTAATGCTTGTAATATCATCACTGTATTTTTACGGTAAAGTTCTTCCAACCACAGCTGCCAGTTGTTTATTTCACCGTAAATTTGACCAAAAATGTACAGTATATTATTATTAACTCACACCAGGCCGCAGTTGAACAAACATATGAAGCATCTGAGCATTTCTGCTTAAAACAAGGCAAATCGGCTACATTAATAATGTGATATTGCGCCATGCCTGCACAACGAAGACGAATAATGCGCTGCCCTTTGTTTCATACGAGTCACAGAAATAAAAATTCCGAGTGTAAATGAAACATTCGTATAGTTATTGGACATCAAGGTTTTAACTCTCTCTCCGTGCAATAACTGTGTGAAACCTGAATGACATTAATGGACACATACCAGGAAGCGCCGCGCGCACAGGTGCCAGAATGCCACGCGTGTTTTCAATGTTTATGCGCGAGCCGCAGTCATTTGTGAATAAACACCCACGGCGATTCCCAAAAACATCCCCGTATTTGTCATAACATTTCGACGGCCTGTAACGGAGCGGCTGAAACCGCAATAAAAAGAAATGCACAGGTTCTACAAAAAGCCCGCTGAATACGACGGCGCCTTGCAGAGTCTGTGCATTTATGCCTTATGTTCATTCCGCGGGTCATTATTTTGGTCATATATTGAAAATGGGCGTGTGTTCGTGCAGTGACAGCTAGAGCCCTCTGTCCGTCCCTGAAGACCCGCACTTCCCTAAATTATGGCGAGGCGTGATACATATAAAAGCAGCTGCCTTTTATTGAGCACACGGCGACAAATCAACGTAATTTGCTGCGCATCGAAATACTCAAAATGAAAGTCAAAAGGGAAAATGATGATGCCCTGTGCGCGAGCGTGCGCTCCTCCCTTTCCAACCGAGCCGGTCGCGGACCTTTCCTAAATATCCATCTTTTTACGACTGATTAATGACCGTTCAAGGTAATCCTACCTGTCCGAAGTCAACGGGGTAGTTCTCCCATCACACACTGACCGTTTTCAGCGACTGCTACAATCCCGTCATGTCCTAATGCGTCAAAGGTAAAAGTAGAGACCGATAGAAATTCATCAGGGCGGTGAATGTTACAGCACCGCTTACAGTGTAGGAGGACCATGCTTCTGTCATTTAAAACTATGAGGAAATGTGCCTATACACTTCGCAGCAGGCACAAAATGCTTATATTTGTGCACGTATCATCACCCAAAACAGAGTTTTGTTGTGTGCACGTGCATGTATATTTTATATTGCCGCTTGGCCATTGTGAAGCTAATAATAACCATTCTAATAATAAAGCTTCTTGAATCGATTACTGAGAGACTGAGTAAATGACCACAGAGCTCTCTTTGGAAATACTAATGTACGGCTAGGCTACATAACGGAAAATTTAACCCTTAGTGAACCAAGCATTATCGATTAGGCCTATGTCTATTTTACATGGACTAACCCAACTATTGGGTTACATTTTTAAATCAACTTTTTAACCCAAAAGTTGGGTTAGTCCATATTTGAAACCAAAGTTGGGTTGAAACAACCCAGCATTTTTTAGATTACTTTTAATATGATTTAATTTAGAATATTATCTTTATTTTATAGAATGGAGGATCGAATCTTTAGTATTGTATACAATCAACTTAGGAAAAGTATAATTTGTAAAATATTTAGAAAATTTCTAAATGTCTTCAAAAATGTATCGCGAGCGAGTGAGGTAGTAACCATAGCAACAGTAGGCTCGGTCGCAACAGACTGCGACGCAGAGATGACAGAAATATCTAAAAAATAAAATGCATGCACCTTTGTATTATTATTATTATTATTTAATTAGTAGCAGTAGATCTGCTAGTTGTTGCATTACCGGTTACTATGCCTGGTTACTATGGGTTACCGTGAGATCACCACCAGTGGCCAGTGTGCCTTGCGTGCTCAGTAATCGGATCAGACACGCGGTTGCGCTGTTTACGGTTGCAATTTCTCTAAAAAAAAAAAAAAAAGTTGTCAAGGGAAGTGACAAGAGCACAGTATATATTAGTCTATCTATATCACTGAACGCATTTTACATTTCTGTACATTTTTAAATAAGTGATATTTTCAGTTGTTACGTTTAAAAGGAAGTTAGAAGGTAAGCAGTCAATGCTCACTGACTGAATGCTTTGCTGTTTAACAGAGGCAGAAGCAGAACTGGCAGCTCTGGAGGATCTGCGCTTGAGTCGGGCCATGGGTTACATTTCCATATCTCCTAGTACTGTGGGTGAGTCATTCAACCAACCATGTCAGAAAACAAATATGAGAAGTCTACTGATGAGTCTGTTTGGGATTCAAATTAAAAAAATTGTGTTATGACCACTAGGGGGAGTTAAAGTTCCTTTTATACATGAATATCTGGATAGGTCTGGGACAACCGTAAAAGCAATGAGTGTAGAAACTGATCAGTACTTTACATTATGATCCCTGGGTCACCACATTAGATCAACTGTTTCTACATGTGTTCTTCAAATAGAATACCTCAATATTTTCAGAATAAGTCTGGTTTTACCATGTCTGCTACTTTCCCAGGTGGGTGCTTAACTCTGGAGGAGGCCAGGGCAAACCAACAACAAGAAATGCAAATCAAGAGAAGACAAAAGCAGGTAAGACCAAAATGATAACCAGTGAACCAAAACTTCTCCATATATAATAAGCACAGTGATCTGATGAATGTTTTTTTCCCTTTCAGGTTAAAAATGTGGTTTAGAAACATCTTAAGTTGTGCAAAAATAGCAGTTAGAATACTGCCAACAACAGATGAACATTATATTTCTATCTAGTTTGCTTTTTAATTTTAAAAGTGCAGCTAATCTCCATGGACTTTCTAATGTGACCTTATGTTCTAAATCTATATTCATTCTATATTCAAGAATTTGTGACATGCATGACTTGATGTGAAATGCAAATACTCATCAATAGACAGTATACTGACAAACAGGTTGTATATTAAAATTAAAGAATAATTTACAGAATATAATGACCGTGTGCTTGTTATATTTAGTGCACACAAACTAATAAATGTTTAAAAATGTTTTGAAAACGGTGTAAAATAATTTTTCTTTCTTATAAGATTTTAAGTGACAAAAACACATTGTGTTATTACAATTGTGAAGCATGGTGTAGTAATTCAGCTTAATTTGGTCTATTATTTCATGCAAACAGTCCTCCTGGTGATCTGTTTTTCCTCTGTTTCTTAGCAACAAGTATTTTTCTCTCTTTGTTTTGTCCTCTGTGTATATTCTGGGAGCTGTCTGCTTTGAAGGTTCCAAAAATATGAACCAGGGTCCTGTTGGTTCAAGAGGAGAGTAACAACATAATGAAAGGTAGATAGGTGGGGGCAAATAAATTAATAAAATAAATTATTAAATTGGGCATTATGGAGCTGTACTCTTCCCTGGTAAATTAAAGGAATAGTGCACTCAATGAACGTTTGCTGAAAATGTACTCACCCTCAGGCCATAAGATGTAGATGAGTTTGTTTTTTCATCGGAGCAGATTTGGAGAAATTTAGCATTACATCACTTTCTCGCCAATGCATTAGTGAATGGGTGCCATCAGAATGAGAGTCCAAACAGCTGATAAAAACATCACAAATAATCCACATGACTCCAATCCATCAGTTAACGTCTTGTGAAGTGAAAAGCTGCATGCTTGTAATAAATTATTCATTAATGCGTTTTAACTTTATCGCTTCTGGACAAAATACCAGACCATAATCCATAATAACACTTCATCCAATGAAAGACGATTCATAGGCGAGCAAATTATGTAATGCTGAATTTCTCCAAATCTGTTCCAATGAAGAAACAAACTCATCTAAATCTCGAATAGCTTGAGGGTGAGTAAATTTGAGCAAATTTTCATTTTAGGTGAACTATTCCTCTAATCTAGTGAGTCTCAGTCCCTTCATCTGTCATCAGTTGCAGCACAATACAGTTTTTCACCTATACTCACTCTGAGGATAGAGTAAGCACTGTTCAGCTATGTTGTTTATAGAACACATTTAATAACTTGTGTTTGCACTGCACATAATTCACAAAACTTGACTGTACTGCTTTCAGGTTCACAAAGATATTTAAAAAATGGATCTCTTTTTAGATGAGTTGAATCACTTGTTTTGCCTCCAGGTCTGCCACTTGACCTATTGCTTTTCAAACCTTTGCAACTTTACAATTCACTTTGAAAATAGCAGAGAAACTGTTGTTGTTTATTACCATGCATTGAAACACTAAAATGGTTCCTCTGAGAGTCTGGAAGTAATGAAAAGTAAAAGCCAAAGGCCCCAAAAGGACATTAAATTAGTCTCAGACTGAACAAAAAACAAACACAAAATAGCTTTGCACAAACATGCACAGTGGAAAACCACTGTTACAGATATTTTCAAATGGCCTTTAAATACCCTTAAATTTTATTTTTGTTTAAATAACAATGATTTAGTTAAGGAATATAATTTTATGATGCTTACATTCTTTCTTTCTAACACATAGTTGTACAAAAGTCTAACCATGAGGGTGTTTCCTCTGAATTGAGTAATCCAGGCATAGGTCAGGGTGTGAACAACATGTTAGCAGCTAAACTATAGAAATGCAAACCTTGACACAAATGAAAGTCAAATTAGAGCCATTTGCCTTATGCTAATTTCCACATGGAAAAGGACACAAAGAAGAAAGACAATGCAAATGGATGTCTGAAGGTGTCATTACACAAAATGTAAACAGAAAGTAAAGAAATATTCATGCTCAAATACAATATATTGAATATATATATATTGAATTATGAGGCCACTACCTCCATTAACACACAACCATCTTGTATCAAAAATAAAGATTAACCTATATATTTTATATATAATATAAAAAAATAGAGATTTGGTATCAAGTTGCAAATACTCTTAAAGACAATGTTGAAGGTAAATTAAAAGCTATGAATGTTTACGGTTACTTAATACCAGCTGGTCAATGCTAAGCACTATGACATAATACCCCCCACTACACTGGAAAACACATGATTTACATAAACAAAGGACAAAGGATGAATAAGCAAGTTACAGTGTGTGTTAGTCACAGTAATGTGATGCTGAATGACAGGATTAAACTAAATATATATAGCCTAGATAATATGATTAATAATGGTACTACAGTATGTGGATATGACTGAATAAATGTATATATATATATATATATATATATATATATATATATATATATGAACTCTCTAGAATATTTGCAATACAGTTTGTTCAGAAATATATATATATATATATATTAGCAATCTAGAATATTATTAAGAATCAGTGTAAAAAATATATCACACAAGGAGTCTAGGGCTAGTTATCAGACGGGAAAGCTATCACAAAGGCTATCAAAAGTCAAAAGTCCAATTCAGTTCAAAACTGTCTTAAAACAGATTAATGTCTGAGAATTTTGACTTCCAAACTAAAATTTCAGTAGCATAATATTTCTACTATATTCTTGGGTACACATTCAAGCAAAAGTACTTTGCAAATTATACCTACAATGTATTAGTCACTACTTCTGTTAGTCAAAACAATTATATGACTTTTTATGATGACATTATTTGCTGAAACACTAATAATAGCTATACACCATATATAATGTGACAACTTTTTTTTATTTTTATAAACCCACTCTGTAAAATACTCCATAAAGTAAATAAAAATGTGGGACTATTATCCATGGTCCCCTACTGGTGTTTTCTTCATTTTAAAATGACTTAATATCATAATTTCATAATATTTTGCGCAATTAACCTGTGTTTATTAAGCAACAAGATAACCAAGAGAAAATCAGTTTTACAAATGTCTGCACACAGACACACCTTTACCATGGTTCACAATAATTCGTGCATGTTTACCGCACGGAAACCCAAGATAGCCAGACAGACTTCCTACTCTTCTTACGGTTGCTATGGCTATGGTCGGTAGAAGCGACAGAATGGCAATCAGTGATTGGACAGTTGAAAAGTCATTCATAGAGCTTACCCAATCGGTGATTAGTTTAAGGGCGGGACTAATAGGAATGCGGGTAACGCCCCCAGATCGCGAGACAGACTTCCTCCGCTAATCTCGCCGTCTAGCCGTGGCACCTGTCGGGTGACGTAGGTTGTTGGGTTGTGGATTGACGTTGTATGAAGTCCGCACGCACCAGTGTTATCGTGTCAGCGCGACGGGCGCTCGTTCGACTGTGAACTCCGAGACGGAATCCCGTGATATAAAAATACAATTATTTCACAAGCTTTCCTTATCTTCTCGTCAAAACGACGTTAAATGATACTTCAGATTTAAAGGTAAGATTGAATACACGTTGTTTTTTCGGTTTACATTTTCTATAACGAAAGCACGTATTTTCAATATTTAATATTTCAATATATGATTATTCATATATTCAGTTCCTCATGATATAATTGCTTCCCGTGCCTTTACATTAAATGCCTTCTTTAGCGTATTAAATCTTAAAGGATTATTTTCGACTGTTTCAGCTGAATTTTACGTGATATTTTCTAAGATTACTCCTACATATGAAATTTGATAATCGACAGCAATCGGCTACGGTTATAGTTTATTTCTTTCAAGTGTTGTTAGAAAAAAATTACAATGTAGCCTATGTTTTTTCATCATCGCTTTGATCATATTTCATACAAGCAGAACCTAAATATTTCTATCCCCACTAAATCTAAAGAACCCGACAATTTTTTTTCCCGCAATGAAATCTTCTCGAGGGGTGCCTTCACAGTTTGTTGTGAAATGTGAAAGTGTCATAGGTGTGGGAACATATGGGGGTAGTCCCGCAGAGGTCTCTGGCACGAGTGAGTGTCATTACCAAGGCAGAGGGGGGAGGGGCGGAGATCTAAATCCGGTCAGAGGGGAGTGGCTTTGTGAAGAGGGCGGGGCCTCTCGCTGTGAGAGGGGGTGTAAAGCATAGACTGTATAAAAACGTGTAACAGTCACAACACATTACAGATATGATTAATTTGTGAGGTGATTGCACTATCACTGACGAAAGACATAACCGTTTTAAATAACGAGACTAATACTATTAACCCTTCCTGGAAACGAGTTTAGACTCTTTATAATTATTTAAAAGATAGATGAATGAATCGAATTTCCCAGAAATTGAAATGTCCATATCAGAGTTACTTTAATATCATTGAGATACTATTATACTTTCTATTCATATTTTACATTTAATGCTTTAATTTTAATTTTAGTTAAGGTTTTAGCAATTTTGTTGTGTTTTTGTAATCTTTTTTAATATATGTTATTAATGCATTTTTGTTATATATATATATATTTTATAATTTTTTTATTTATTTTTTTAGTTTAGTTATTTTACTTCATCAGGAAATAATTGAATAGTTGCTTTGACAACTAGCTGAAATATAAAGTTTATTATATTTTATTTTATTTCAGTTAATGTTTATTTTATTTCAATTAGTTTTTTATGGTTTTAATTTTAGTTTCGGTTTTAGTTTCAGTTAACTAAATCCTGGTTGAATGTCTGTATAGTTTTTTATTAATTCTTATTTCAGTTTAGTATTATGAATTTTAGTACATCAAGTTAAACTAAATGAAAATGAGAAATGCTGCCTTAAAATTCTGAAAAACAATGTTTTTAAATATATTTTGTTTTATTTAAGTTAAAGGGGTCCTGTTATGCTCTTTTACAAAGTCTTGATTTTGTTTTGGGGGTGTACTAGAACAGGCTCTCATACACATTATTTTTCACATATTTTACATTATTACAACACCTCTCTCCCCAGTCTGGCATGAATGACTCGAATAGTTCCTCTATCAAATGAAGGCCCGCCTTCTGAAATACAAAATGTGCTGCGATTGGTTAGCTGGGTCAGTGT